CATTTTGTTAACTCTATAATTTAATTATCGTTATAACTATAAGTGAAATGGTAACCGACTACTCACAATACACAAGATTTAATTTGATATGAATAAGAAAAGTAAAAAGATAAAGTTTCCCAAATTTTGTGGGTAACCCGTTTACTCAGACACGCAGTATATATGTTGATCTTAGAATACCACAAAGGCGAAAATACGTAGTTCTTTGTTCTGCGAAGCAATCTAAACAATCTGGACAGATCCATATATATGTTGATCTTAGAATACCACAAAGGCGAAAATACGTAGTTCTCTGTTCTGCGAAGCAATCTAAATAATCTGGACAGATCCATGATACATAGAATCGAAAACCTCAAGAAAAAGGCCAATACTACGGAAAGAGCGATCCAGCCTTACATACATCTGGCCAATACAGAATCAGTCGCCAGATGAAACTGGAAAGGAGAAAAATCAAAATTTGTAGCCAGAAGACGTTAAAGTACCAAAGTATCTGGTACAACCTGCAACATGGAGGAGTCAAAAATTTTCGTAACATCTTAAAAAAACAATTTGAAGAAAACTAATTCCATAGGAAAAAGGTCAACACTGCGGAGACTCCTAACCATACAGTAAGCAGGTTAATGCAGAGGTACACTGAATGAAACTGAAAAGCACAAAAAAAGGAAATTTGTCGATGTATACATGAGACCAATAGTCAAAAATAATTACACCAAACGCCAGCTATACTTAAATCAAGTCAATAGTACTCTATATAGTCATACAGAGTTTAACACTGAAACACATTAAATAAACTGGAAATTATCGAATGATTGAGACTCAAGACCAATAGTCCTAAGACACACTAGTAGCAGCGAATGTTGTCAAAATAATTGGGAAAACAATCTGCGCATGTTAATTCAATTTGGAGGAAATTTGTTTAATTAGAAAGCCAGAAGTAACTAGGTGTAGAAAACGTCTTGGTGGCGCAAATTAGCGGCAAAACTCAGTGGTCGTGAGTTCGAATCTTGACAGGAAGAACTGATTGCAGTACAACAAAAAAACCTAGGTGTAGAGTGTCACTGGTGTCAAGAAAAAAGTCATTACCATATATCCATCAAATCAATAGTAGCCGTTCTGGCTGTTCTACCAAATGTAGTACTTACTGAAAACGTTAATTATGCAACTAATTTACTATTACAATTAAGTCTAAATAGAAACGCGCATACAATAGAAATGTTTAAAAAAATTTATTGTTATACACCACTCATACCACTTGTTATAGTTATCCTACTGCATGCACCATAAATCCCCTTCGTGTCTGTCTAGCAGGACTGTCATTTCTTTAAACGTAGATTTAAGTACATAAATAAAATGCGAATTTTTATTTAAACTTTTTACTACAAATACTTTATCATATATACAGAAACTCATTGTCAAACATTCTACAAACTGAGCGCATATGCATACCGTATCATTCGTTTTGTTATCCAAATAAGTACATTTTTCATCCACACTTTTTGGTACTTATTTACAAAGTAATTTAATGTCAACGTCAAGTCCCAATATACAAGTCGTCGTAAACAAACAAAAAACTTTAGTATTTGACATAAAATCGTATAGACTGTGAGAAACGGAAACTTAGTTTAGCAAATGCATTTGTTAATCTATCCCAAACAATTTAGTGCTCCTTGTAGAAGAAATATCGTATTAGAGTACACAATCTGTAACGATTGTCCGCTAAACATGTGTCAACAGAACAGTAAAGATGCATTGTTTTCCGCTGCTTTTATAAAAGTTTAATAAATAAATAATCAAAATTTAATAAAATTTTTAATAAATCAATAAAATAGTCTAATTTTTAAACTCATTTGAAATGGTCAATACCGAGAATGTTATGCGTTATGTATCGCCTTTTTAATTACCTAGGACAATGCGACATTTCATGATCTCTACTACAATATTAATAGTCGCACATGTTATATTTTACAACAGTTTATTTAGAGAGAAAACAACAGGTCATTACTTGTATAAGAGTCAAAAAAATAAACAAAAAGATTCAATTTGTTGTACTAATTGATGATGAATAAGTAATTTTTAATTTTATTTTAGTTTTTCAAGGTAAATGATAAAAAGAAAGCATTTGTTTCAATTTATATATATTTACTAGTTTTATTACTGATTAAGTTACCAGAAGATATTAAGTTATTTATATTTTAACAAAAATGGAGTGCTAGACTTTTTAATGACCTTGAAAAACTTTCAACAACAAAAAATTACCTACTACTTATCAATTAGTGACACCATTTTACCTTTATATCGCAAAGTGTTTTGTTTTAGCTTTTCATCCCGTTATTATTTATTATTTTAACATTAAAATGTCACAAGAATATAGCTTCCGAACAGTATCCAGTTACTATTATACGTTTTTAATGAAAATGGAGAAATATCAAATGTCCATGTTCACTGACGTCATCATTTACCCTGTTGACATCTTAATATTAATCACCAATTATAACCAAAGGATAGATGGAGTGAGAAGGAGAGGCAGACAAAGAGCACGATTTAAGGATCAGGTGGAGGAAGACTTGAGAATGTTGAGAATACGAAAATGGAAAGCCAAGGCGAAGAATAGGAGATAATGGAGACTTATCCTTAACCAAGCCAAGACCCACCATGAGTTGTGGAGCCAATGATGATGATGAACCACCATCACGGATTTTCATAAAGAGCATTTTTGTAAGGACTATAATCGGTAAAGTAGAAGCAAATTAATCGATTGCAAGACAAATCACTAATAAAATAGACAAGAAAACAAGCATTTTCGTCGAATTACAAAAATATGGCACGCTACCTTCTAAGAAAAGTCAAATTTAACAGATTGGCGAATTATTAACTAGTGCAAATGCAAAAAAAAGACTAAAGATCTTGAAAAATCGATTAATAAGATCTAAACATTTGCTGTGGTGCAATGGTTACGAAATTAAGATGATACTAAGACTACTTAAAGCTGCAACCAGCTGCAATTCAGCAAAGCACGCGCCATCGATCATTAGCAGCGGTATCTGCCAAACCGAACTACTGACACGGTTCTTCATCGAAACCATCTTCGAATCTAGAAATTATTAACCAGAGTAAAGACAAAGAACAACTAGAAAGCTTCACCCAGTAATTAACATTTGTTCTAGCGACTTATTGTCATTTGTCACTTTCCTGAGCATGCGCTTTTCATTCCTGACTATCGACATTTGGCGACTAGAATTATGGACACAACGACTGTCGTAAAGATCATCTTTAAGAGAACCCTAATGGGAAAACAAGAAGATGTCGACTAGAAAAAGAAAAGCAGAGTAATGTAGTATGCCCGACGAAATCATCAAAAGAAACAATTGTCTAAAACAAATTAGCGATAAAGAGAGGAATACTAGAATATCGTTGAAATAATGACAAAAACATACAAATCTAATTTACGTCTAAATCTAAATGTCAGAATTCACGGATCTGCGAATCCTTAACGAGTATGAATTACAAAAAACTGTTCCAACATGGTGGTGGAGTTATAATAGCACAGACATTAAGTTTTCCACGTAAATAAACTGTTGAAAAAATACAGAATGTTAGACGGTTAACTTTCTAGCACTATTTTAGACATGTTTGGGATGTACCTATTGTTTTAAATACCTAACCTACGAAACTACGAGAAAATTATCGCTTAAACCGTTCATTTAGGGTCTGTGATCAGTAAGGGACTTCTAAATTCCAAGTAAAAATAAAAAATACATTAAATAGCGCGCAAACGACAATAAATTACTTAATTCAACTAAACAAAAAATATTTTTCTCTTAAACGACACGCAGTCTATACAAGTCTGAACAAAATTATACAGTTGTAAAAAAATATAAAAAAAAACACATGATTAAAAAAGCATCTTATCGTTTAGAGAATTGTTTTGCACAAAACACATTACACTGGTATTTATATTTTTAAACCATAACTATGATGATACATTTAGAAAAATATTATGTCCCTTTTAAAATGCCACTGTCTACAAGTTCAATCGGTTAAAAGTTATCAACAAGTGCACATATGAATTTAAAACGAATTATTGCATGTATGCCAAAATCAACGTCTCTAAATTTATTTACACACATTTGAACTGTCTACCATCAAAACGCCAAAATTATATCTAGAACATAAATCATATGCGCTAGGTGTTTCCAACCTTCAATTCTTTTATCACAATATTAAAGTTGAGGCTATTTTCTACTACAATGGTGAATTTTGTAAAATATAAATGTCAACGTTGATTATTGAAGTTTCTGTTACTGTATATTAATACCTATCTGTATAAGCACCACAAAATTAAAATGAAAGCTAAAAACCATCGTTAACCAGTTTGTCGAGTACCAGGACTTATGGCGCGCTAAGAAGTAATAATTTTAGTTTTGTTTGCACATTTCAATCACAAAATGAAATATATCAAACTGTAGTTCATTTAAGGTTCGAGGTAATGATTCGGAGGTTTGAGTGATCTTTCACAGTGCATTAAATACGACAAAATATTGCGATAACATGTATCAGTCGGAATAATCATTAAATGACGGTATTTCCTTGATGATTGTAAACAATAATATAGATAATGAAGGAGTTAAAAATAAATTTTTAGTATATGATCGTAGAATTTTTACACGGATTAGGGATTCTGCGCACCAACAACTGCTGGTAGAACCACCAGCACGTCTGGCGCGTAGTAGCATGCCGAGAAGTAATGAGAAAAATTTACTTGGCTTTTCAACAGGGGGACTAATATAGTAGCCACTGAAATGCTCATAGGGTGTTCAAATACTCGTAAAAAAATGACTATAAGTTAAATTTTGATTATATGTTATTGATAAATTCTGTCATGCATTTGCAGATTCAACTGAGTAACAAACAATTTCTCTTTGTAAGGTATTTCAAATTATATACCAATAATAATGACAAGAATGAGTAGAATCGATTTTATATAAAATTGAATTTTTTTTAGAATTTTATCATAAACGTACGGAAACAGCTTTGTTTAACTTAAATGAGAATCCAGCTCTGTAAAATAGCAACAGCTGTTAACTTCGTAACAAGATCCCCTTACCGATCACATTCTAAATAGAATTTAACACGTAAACTTATAAAAGTGATATTTTTACGGGACATCCTGTATTTTTAGATTAATTACACAGTTCTCTATGAGATGTCGGTTAGTCTTGCATCTCTTCTGGTACTTCGTGGGGATTGAGTATACCGGGCACGGACAGCTCGATGCGTCGTTTTTCCGCTTGGGCGACTTCCAGAGCTTTTTCTCGTTCTTCCAAGAACAAGTCTGAATCGTCTTCTCCGGTATATTCCTGAAAAATAGATTTAATATTAATTTTTATGATTGTAATCTTTCCATAATATCCAGGGATTCCAGGGTGCGCTAAACCTTTGGCTTTCTTTGATTACCGCTAAAGTATGGAGTATATAAAAAAATTTTAAAACAAAATTAATGTATATCAAAGACATCTATAATTTAAAATTATTTTTGAATACAGGATCAGTCAGAACAACGAAATCAACCGAAGTTGTCTGTGTGTGTGTGTGTGTTTGTGTTTTTTTTTTAAATACCCTGTACATTAAACCATTTTTTATTATATTTTTTAAAAATATGAAGAGTTTGTATAATTGATGGATTCGACCGTTACTTGAAGGAAATTCAGTCTCACCTAAATACGAGGCGACTATAAATATATATTTCAAAAATTAACAACTTTAGGCCTATAAAATCTTATACAAACTTTGTTTTCAAACTGCCACAAAATTTATTTTAAATTCTTATCACTACAGCTGTTTCGGCCGATTGCCTTTCTCAAATGATCTATAAATTATATCTGTGTTTTTTAATTTGTTAATTTCCATAGATTCTAACAAAGATATCTTAAGGCCTTTATTTTGAATGTGAAGAATTTTTAATTCGTCATTAAAAGAATGATTATGATCTAGAAGGTGAAGTCCATATGTAGAATATGTTTTTCTATTATTGAAAGCCCTTCTATGTTCTGCTATTCGTTTATTAAAGTTTCTACCAGTTTGAACGATGTAAGTTTTTGGGTAGTCGCCACATTTAAGTTTGTACACACCACTGTGAAGTGTTTTTTATTTTGGCTCTTGTTGTTTTTAATATATTTGCCTAGGTTGTTATTTGTTCGGAAAACTGGTGTTATTCGTTTCTCTTTTATATGTTTGGCTATTTTTGTTGATATTTTGCATGTATATCCCCTAAGCCCATTGCTGTCAGATATTTTTAGGGATCATCTAGAGAGAAAGATTTTTTAAAACAGAAAATTTACAATAGAAACAGAACAAAATCAATCCATGATTTAAAAATTATCAGACTTAAAAACAAACATGACTTCCATATTTCATAAACCTACCCATACTGACACGACTATACACAATTTATCATCATATCCCACACAACATAAACTGGCAGCCTATCATAGTACGTTACATAGATTAATAGAAATTCAGATGTCAAAATACAGCTTTGAGACAGAATTAAATATCATTAAGCAAATATCAACAAACAATGGATATAACGAACAAATAATTAATACAATATTAAATCAAAACTACACAAGAAAGACCTGAAATTAGTATTTCCACCACCAGAGAAAAAAACCAATAACTTCTGCTCGATTACATATACCAAAATAGCCACACACATAGAAAAGAAAGAAATACCACCAGCTTTCCGAACAAATAACAACCTAGGCAAAGATATTGAAAACAATAAGAGCCAAAATAAAAAACACTTACACAGTGGTGTGTACAAACTTAAATCTGGCGACTGCCCAAAAACATTACATTACATTGGTCAAACTGGTAGAAACTTTAATAAACGAATAGCAGAATATAAAAGGGCTTCTAGATCATAATCATTATTTTAATGACGAATTTAAAATTCTTCACATTCAAAATAAAGGCCTTAAGATATCTTTGTTAGAATCTATGGAAATTAACAAATTAAAAAACACAGATATAATTCTGAATGACCAACTTGAGACAAACGGTTCTCTCCTCCTCAACCTATTTCATTAGAGACTATAAAGTGTAAACGCATGTCAAAAATAGATCACTTGAGAAAGACAATCAGCAGAAACAGCTGTAGCGATAAGAGTTTAAAATAAATTTTGTGGCAGTTTGAAAACAAAGTTTGTATAAGATTTTATAGGCCTAAAGTTGTTAATTTTTGAAATATATATTTATAGTCGCCTCGTATTTAGGTGAGACTGTGTAAAAATATATTTATCTGTAATAAAAGCAGTCTTTAATATTCTCATCGAGATTTACATTCAGATGTGCCTGGTATTATGTTTGAAAATATGGGCAGTTAATGATGGGCAGAAAATAAGAGCCAATGAAAGTATCGTATATGGCTATTATGACAAATCACAATGAATGGGTTATCTTGTATCGGCAAACTTATGCATTCTTCGGGTAAGATATAACAATATTTGCCTGAGCGACCGAAACCATAAAGTAGTTTATCAGAAAAGTTCGCCAATTTAATAACAAATGTGAAAACGTTCAGAGGGGCTGACGTAGACTCAGATCATTTTTTGGTTAGAATTAATATGAGAGAAGTAATAATTAAAAAGCATAAACGGAAAAAGAAAGTGCAACGTAAATTTAACTTTGAAAAACTGCGAAAATTTGAGGTAGCGCAGGATTATCAAAAGGATATACAAGAAATCTACACCAAACAAGATAGTACTACTGTGAGTAACATACAACAAAACTTCTTGAAAATGACAAACACTATAAAGGAAGCTACGTCGAACAAAATATCAAGAACAAAAAGAAAACCACTGGTTCGATGACGAATGTAGAACAGAGTTTAAAAAAGATCAGATTTAAGATTAAAAAGTTTACGATCGCAAAAACAAAACGACCTAGAAAGGTATGCCGAACAACGAAAAAAGTAAAGAGAATCCTAAGGGAGCGAAAACGAAAGTATATGGATGATAAAATAAAGCGCATTGAAGAAAATTACAAGAAAAATGAAATAAAATTTTTTTATAAAGAGGTTAAATACATTAAAACTGGGTACCAGGAAAGAATGATGAATGTAAAAGATAAGCAAGGAAACGTGATTGTAGACGAAGGCCAAATATGTGAAAGGTGGAAAGAATATTTCAAAGAGATGCTAAATGACGAAGTGACTACTGAAGAAAATTGGTATGTTTCTAAACCTCAAATAGTAATAGAAGAAATACCAAAACCCACAAGAGAAGAAATTGAAGAAATAATAAAAGATATGAAAAATCAAAAAAGCCCCCGGAAGAGCGGCATTGTCGCAGAGAACATAAAATATGGAGAAGAGGCCTTAATAAACAAACTTGGTGAGCTAATACTAGAAGTATGGGATGCCGAAGAAATGCCTCAAGAATGGAATAAGTCGATTATAATTCCTATAGACAAAAAGGGAGATAGAACTGAATGCGCAAACTATAGAGGAATATCCTTATTAGAGGTAATATACAAAGTACTCGCAATACTAATTAAAAAACGATAAGAAAAAGTACTCGCCATACTAATTAAAAATCGATTAGAAAAAGTACTCGCCATACTAATTATATATACAGATTGAACCAAATTAAAACGGAACATACAATTTAATACATGTCTGTTTGAACTGCATTTGAAATAGTGGAACAATATAAAACTTGGACAAAAATAAATACATACCTGGGTATAGACATTGTATAAAATATCGTTCAACTATCTGTCTCGCAACAATGTTCTTTGCGTAAGACGGGTTTGTCTAAGGAGGCGATAATAGTTCAGGAAATGAAGCTCGAAAAAAGTTAAAACCTCGCAATTTTTTCGTCCTGCATGTATCCAGTTGAAATTTTAGCAGAAGGTAGGTGATAGCCCAAGGATCAAAATCTATATCGAACCGAAGTGCGCTGAAGGGTTTTAGGGGTGAAAACTACCCCTAATTGTCAAAAATTATAGAATAACATATTAAACCTGAATATGGGTAAGATTTGGTTTGCATTAGTTAAATAATGATTATTTTATACTTTTGAATAGAGTTCCATCATATTTCAACCCTTAAAAAGCAACCCTTGTTAGAGATTAATGTAAAAAATTACTAATTCTAAAAAAATGATTTCGCCTTGGATCGATTTGGATAAAAATTTGGATTTAAGCTCAATTCACCAGCTGCTTTATAGTTTATGTCATGCCGATGAACCCTGATTGTTCTTAGGGGTGAAAACTACCCCCAAATAGTCAAAAATTGTAAAATAATATTACAAATCTTAAGATGAGTGAAATTTGGTTTGGATTAGTTAAATAGTGAGTTTTTTATACTTTAAAATACAAATTCATACATTTTCAACCCTTAAAAATCAATTGTTATGAGTGCTATAGGTGAAAACAATTTTTTGCCAAAATTTTGCAACTTTTCAACTGTTGAAAATCACCCTTTACAACATTGCAGTTTTTATAAACTAATTTATAAGATATAAATTGAAAAATGTAGAATTAAATACAAAAAAAAATTATCAACATAAAAAGGCACCATATTATATTTTTATACATTTACATAAATAGTTGAAAATATTTACATTTATAGGTAAAACAATTATAATATTAATTTTATTCGTCATCAATTACATCTTCATCGTGATCTATGTCATCCTCATCTTCTTCAATTATTGGTGAACTGTTATTGCACCCTTCACCTGAGCACCCAGAACAAGTAGAGTTACAGTATAAACCAACTTTTCTGCACCCATATGAAACGCCGCATCCTTTTTTGCATTGGCAAAAAATAATTTTCAAAAATTTATCGGGTGCAGGTTGTTTGTTCATGCGTACGGGTAATAACAAACCATCTTTGGAATACCATCCCCAATCTGTTGCTCTGATATTTTCATTGCCAAGCCATAGACATATGAGCAGATGTTTTATTCTGTTGTATGGGATTTCAAAATAAGAACGCTTAAAATTTCGAATGTATAACGCCCCACTAGCTAATATATCGGTTTTGTAGATTATTATGCTCCGAAATGTACTGTACTATACTAATGGAATTTTCCGGAAAAAAATTAACTGGTTTTTTTAACGTATTTTCTTTAATTTTTAATGATAGAGTGTTTTTAATAGCTACAAGGATCTGTGAATTAAATCTTTTTGGAACCCTTGGTTTTTAATTGGGGTGAGTTTAAAGGGCTCGAAAAAGATGGTGCTTGATCGTAAATCGATGCTTTAACGCCGACGGCTATATCTCGCCAAATATTCATTGTACAACAAATCTAAATAAAGGATAATTTTAGTCATTAAAAAAGCTACAATT